GGAACCCACATACTAGACTCAAAAGACAAGAACTCAACCGACGATACGGCCAGCTATACAGACTACTAAACAGAAAATCCAAACTTTCTGTTGAAAACAAATTACTTATCTACAAGACAATACTGAAACCTATATGGACATACGGACTTGAACTGTGGGGGACAGCAAAAGCTTCTAACATCAAACGTATTCAATCCTTTCAATCTAAAGTCCTTCGAACAATAGTTGATGCTCCGTTCTATGTAAATAACAAAATCCTACACCATGACCTTAATATCCCATTTGTCCTAGACCTTATTCCAGAAAAATTCTCCAAATTTCACCAGAACCTTACCTATCATCCAAATCCCCTTGCACAATCTCTATCCAGCACCACCCATCCTGACAATCCTCCTCGAAGGTTGAAGCGGCAGTGGCCCAGAGACCTTTTGTAAATAAGCATCTATTGGAGTTTTGGCAATGGCCAGATCCTCCACTCAAGCCCGAGTGTGTATGATTAGGTTAGTTCTTTTGTTTATATACATTTATTTTATTTTATTGTATTTATTTTTATTTTATTTTATTGTATTTATTATTATTAAGTTTCTGTATTATTATTTATTTTATTTATTTGTTGTAAATAGAGTGTGAGCGTGCTTTCTCTGATCACTATTATAAATGTCCTTGATGTGACAGAATGTAATATTTCTAAATAAACAAATAATAAAAAAAAAAAAAAGTTGCTGACTATCCTATGAACTAGTTTTTCTAATTTCAAACTGTTAAAAAAAATTGATTTCTTACCAAACTGGAGTTCATTATTTTTCTGGATGTATATATTATGCCTCGTCCACCAACCCTAGCACCGCATCTCGAGAAAAAATTAACACATTGTTTCCTATGGGACTGGCCTTAAAGTTATGAACAAGCATAGCAATGACTCTTGATTCCATCGAGCAAGGAATTGGTTTGTCAATTCTTTTAACCTCACCTCTTCTGCATTCAGAACTTATATTTCATATTCTTATGTTTCACAACAATAAATCAAAATTGAATTTATTGTTTATTTATATTGATATTTTTTACTAATATTTATTGCGTTTATTATAAAATTTACAAAACTATTATATGAGAGGAAATGTTTACCAATAGATTTTAAATAGGTAGGTTCAAGTGGAGTAATTAATCACTTTTTTTATTTTTAAAGATCCTAATTGCTGGTAATGAATAGTAGAGCAGTACATACAATCTTGAACAATATTAAATTATTAAAAAAATATATATCTCTACTATAACGGTTTTAAATAAATATGCATGAGTAAAAATTAGTAGTAGTTTTTTTAGATACATAATTAAATTATTTTAGGTCATGGTAGCATTAAGATAGTTTTGGTAAAAATTAATCATATAAACAATAGTTTTAAAAATGAAGTAAAAATGAAACCTAATATCCTTAAGCACATTGCAAATTTAGCTTTAATTAAGAAACTTTTTTTATAAATCTCTTAACATTTAATACCTAGTTCTGACATAAATATGTTACAAAAGTTGAACTTTGTTTACATCCTTGGGTATTATTTAGATAATCCTTACCTCTATCAGGTTATTTTCTTTACATGTCAGGATAATAATCCCAATTAGTTTGTATTTTTCATTCGCTCAGTTAACATGGAGTGGAGTGATAAAGAAAATCGAATAGCTGTGATTGCCTTACACAAAGTTGGAAAATGTAGATCAGAGATTTTCAACACTTTGAAACCTTTGAGTATCAGCCATATGTTCGAGTGCCGCACTGTAGATAGATATCATGAGACCCTATCTGTATGAGACAGACCTCGAACGTCCCCACACTGTGAGAATGGTAAATGCAGTGAGAGCAGTGGCTGCTCGAATTAGAAGAAATCCCATTCGAAAACAACAAATTATTTCTTGGGAAATGGGAATCTCTGTCAGATCAATGTCTCGCATAATAGAAAGTGACCTTAGGATGGGTGCATTTCGAAGAATGACAGGACAAAGGCTAACCACTTCCCTAAAAAAAAATAGAGTGGATAGATGCAAAGTGCTCCTTGGCCGTAATACCAATGGTCTTCATCGAAAGAGATTTTGCTTATCGATGAGAAAATTTTGACAATTGAAGAAAAATTTAATCACCAAAATGAACCTGTGTACGCACACAGCTCTAAAGAAGCCCAGAAAGTCATTGGAAGAGTGGAAAGAGGTCATCACCCTTCCTCAGTGATGGTTTGGTGGGTAGTTTGCTTTTATGGTACCACAAAGCTCCATTTTTGTGAAAAAGGAGTTAAAACAGCTGCTAAAATCTTCAGGACGATATTTTGGAATCTGTTGTACAAGCCTCTAAATGATATTCTGCTGGTAGTCGTTGGGTTTTCCAGCAGGATTACGCTTCAGCTCACAAGGCCAGGTCAACTCAGCAGGGACTGCAAAAGAACATTCCAGAGTTCATCTCTGCCTCGGATTGCCCCTCAGGAAGCCCTGATCTCAACCCACTAGATTATCGGCTTTGGTCCGAACTGGAGTTGATGGCATGCCATAGAGCACACCCTAACTTGGAAAGTGTCAAACAATCTCTGGTCTAAGGGTCATGGAATTAAGGTTGGTGTGAGGTGCGAAGCTTGTGGCGGTGCATGAGTCAATGCGTTTTGGACAAGGCCTTACTTGAAGCAACATATAGTTTATTACTTGTAATAATTAATTAGGTTTGGAGCTGTTGTGTGTGAATATACTACATACACTGCTTTATTCATTGAAAAAAATGCATTAACTTGAATTCACAATTTTTTTTTTAAATGACTAGAGCTAAGTCAAAGGAAAACAAGCTACACCAACAACTGTATCTTCACATGTCTGACTCCGAAAAATTTAGCAATTAATTCAACAAAGTGAATTTTGTAGAACATCCAAAATGAATGGAAATGTTTCCATAAAGACCAGATTTTTACACCTAAGGATATTTAAGAGATCAATCTTAAAAAAAATACATGGAAGTAAGGTTAGTAAAAAATATTAGAGAATTAGAAAGTAAATTAAGGAAATGTTTCTAGTTAATAAATTGGTAGCAGCAATTAAAGTATAAGTAGTGCTAACAAAAAAAATTACATCTAGATTACAAATCATATTTATAAATATTTGCTATGTTAAAATTCTTTCCTTCCTACAGATTTTGAACAAAAACATGATTTCTATTGTATTTGTTTAATATAAATTTTAATAAAATATTTTAAATTTTAGTGAGTTCAGTATAAATATAATAATATTCAGTATAAAAACATCAAATTATAGAACATTAATTTTTAATTTACATTAAGACTAATTTTAAATTTAAAGAAAATTAAAACCTATCCTTCATTAGAACTATAGGTAATCACAATAATTGTAGTAATTATTTCATTAAATTGAAGGATTCCATAAAGTAACTATCTGCAATTAAACTTCAAATTTAATGTAAACAATAGTTAGAATTAAACTAGAATAACTAGATTTCTTATTCAAGTCCAAGGATAGTTTAACACGTTAACTGCCAACTAAAAGATAACTCAACTTTTGTGTAATTACGTACTAAACGAATTATCTCATAGTTTATTTACCTGCTATGTTTGTGCATCTACAATAAAATTTGAAGTAAAGTAATCCTTTAACATTTATGAGGGTTATGTTCCATAAAAATCAAGCAAATCTCGAATGTTGAGTACATCTTCCTGTGCCAATAGGAGGTTATGTTTTATGGATACCAATAAGATTTGCTGTAAACATGTTTTTTTATTGTTTTATTTATAGTATATACTATAGGTGGAGAACCTTTTTATATTAGAGGGCGCAGTTAGGTTGGGCAGTGATAATGGAGACCATAATATTTTTTTATATTTTCCTGTTGCTATTTTTATTTATAAGAATATAACACACCCATATATTCAGCTAGTTTTCAAATTTTTGTAACCTGAATAATTAAATATTAATTAATTATAGTGCTATATTAATGAAAACTGTGCTAAAACATTTAAAGGCCACATGTGGCATACAGCTAGCTCATGGAGGCCACATGTGGCCACAAGGCTGCAGGTTCCTCACCTGTGGTAGGGATTTCCAATCACAATTTAAAAAAAATTGAATTAATTTTTACTTGCAGATTCTAAAAATGTATATAATTTATAATTATTAAATTGTAAAGTGTTATATATGATAGTGTTTGTGTCTTTTCAAGTTTGACATATAGAGTTGTAGTGGCCTTGATTTTCCTCTCAAATTTCAAACAAATGCGTGGTTATATCTTAGATTTTTGAATGGGTTATTGTTGAAGGATTAGAAGTAAGTACTAGTAAATTAAATTATAAGTATTTATAGATAATCATTTCATGTAATTAGATACTGCCCGACCTTGGAATAAGGTTCTAATATGGTAAACATTCTTATTCTTCTCATTAGACTTGTTCTAACTGATAAAAAATTTCAGCTTCATTAACAAACAAAAAAATATTTTTTTCAGTGGATATTTGTTATATACAATTTATGAGTGAAGACAAACCTGATAAGTAAATAAACATACTCAGTAATACTTTGATACTATAGTAATAATTGTTGCTTAGACTTGTGATATATTTTTTAATGCTGGAATAGTCAAATATGGAATTCTCGAATGTGGATTTCTCCCACATTTTTGTAATTATGCATAATTAAATATCTTGGATGTCAAACCCTTAAATGTTGAGAGATCACTGTATATTAGTCTAAATATGAATATATACTCTCCAGTATTCAATAAAATTGATGGTTGGCGAACATGAACAAAAAATGTATTTGTTACTATAAGTGTGTATGTGTACAAATTCAACTTTTAGTTGGTTATGGGCTATTTCGCAAGATTTTTTATTTCAATAAAACACGCACTACATGATTTTTGGATAATTAAGACACACTATAATTAGCTTTTAATGATTAAATTAAATTGGCATTTACACCAAAATCTTGAAAAGTACCATGGCAGTTAACATGCTAATTAACTGCAAGAAAGAATAAAACAAAAATTAAAAAAAATATGAACACAAATTGGATTTTAACTTTTTAATATCAAATGGGAAGACAGATTAAAAAAAATACATATAGAAATTTAACAATTTTGAGAACAAAAAATTTACAACCATATTAAACTAATGAAATAAAAATATAGAAAAAATAACACAGAATTAGATTTTAACTCCTTAATGGTACATAGGAAGACAAAACAAAAAGTCTTTAATTTTAGAAACAAAAAGAGAATAAAGAAAAAAAATAAAGAAATTAACAAAAAAAAAAATATATATAATGGTTGCATTCCTTTTTTTGTCTATTTAAAAATTAAGACCAGCTAATTTCATAAATCAGCTACTTGAGCATGAGCTGCACTTGTGCTTGGTCCAGACAGCACAGAATCACTTATTGTTGGCAGGTTGTTTTCTATTCGCAGGCTTGAAATTTTTGCTCTATGGTATGCTTCCAACATTTTTTGGCAAAAGATTCTGAAAATACGTAAAAGTTTATCAAGATAAAATAATGGAAAACTAAAGTGATACAGAAACACCCTTTTTGACATTCAGCTTCCTTATACTTTTAAGGAGAAATAAGAAAGTGGAAGAAAGAGGAAGAGAGAGTGAATGAGGAAAAGGGTAGATTTGATATTATAAGCAGTAACTTAAGTCCAAAAGGAGAATAGAGAGCAACTCAGAGAAAGCCATAAAATCACAGATGATACCTCGGACACAGGGAAAAACTTCCTCCTCTAATAGTATAATTATTATTTTCATTACTTTTTTGATGACTTAATATATTAGATACTAATTTTACAAAAATCCATAGATTTGAGAGTAATATTATTAATAGATTTATATATATTTTTAATCTTAATTAAATTTATAAGGCAATATTTGCTACCCAAGTGGTGGAACAAACAGCCGAATCAATTCAATCAATAAATCTTACTTCACCTAAAAATGTAAAATTAGAATATTCTTCTCTTATTGCCAGAAATTAGTTTCAAATATTTCTATATTATAATTTCTACAATATACAATACATCTACATAAACATGTTTTCAATATTTCTACTTTCACTTTCACAAATTTGATGTCAACGTAGAAAAATATTTCTCCTTTCTTTAATTATCAAATTCTTTCGTATTTATCCATTTTTAAATACTACTAGCAATCAGAAACAGTTAATTAGTTTGAAAAAAAAAATTAAAGGTACTTCAGAGAATTTTTTTTTAAAATTAACCATTAATGCCCAGTTTGACTATTTCATTTCTTCTTAGGTATTTCCTTGTTGGACTATTTCAATTAGAATAAAGACCAAGCAGACATTAAAGGTCAATAAATTTTACACTGACATAATGAGTTTGTTCCCAACCATTAGGCTATTTTGAGAAAAACGTTGATTGTAAAAATAAATTATATAAAACAGAAATTCTGGTACTCCTTATATAAAGAACGAGAGAAAACAAACTGTGACAATTTTAGAATAAATATTATTGCTAAGTATGATATACAAGGGTCATAGGTGATAAATAGTCAGGATGCAGTCATTTTAAGATTTTTCTTGTTGCCAACAATATGTTAATCATGCCGAGGGCATGTTACCAGCACTGATGATGAACCACATGCTTAGGTTGAAACGTCAGCAACAATAAAAATCGTAAAATGACTGCATCCTGACTATTTATCACCTATAATATGTAGAGCAGTCGACTAACTTCCTTTAATACGATATACAAAGTTTCTGCAGTTTTATAGAATAAAAACGTTCAGTTTTGGTTTGACAAGATTTTGGGTGAATTTCAATGTGGTTTTAGACCAAGTAAATCAACAAAAGAACACATTTTTCAATAAGGCAAATGTTGGAAAAAACATGCGAGTACTAAATAAGACTTACAATCAATTTTTTTAGATTTCAAACAGGCATATGATAGTACAATCAGGAAAGAATTACTGAAGACAATGATAAAATTGAGTAATCCCCAAAACTGATTACTTTGACAAGAATGTTCTTAAGCGCTAGTAAATCTATAGTGAAGATGAATGGCCTGTTGTAGGAGGATATCGAGGTGATTCAAGTTGATCCTTTATCCCTCACTCTATTTAATATTGCTTTAGAGTATGCGATAGGGGAAATCTGCACATATCCTCGTGGTACTATTTATAACAGGATGGCACAGCATCTGATTTATGCTAATGATGTCAAAATAACAGTTAGAAATAAAACACCGTTAGCAGAGGCACTTGAAGAATTTGAAACAGCAGCAAAAGAACTAGGGCAACAAATAAATGAACATGAAACTGTTTACATGCTAACTTCAAGAATATTGAGTGGAAGGGACGAATGTTTCACAATCGGAAAACACATTCTGAAAGCGGTCAAAACCTCTAAGTACTCGGGTGTATTAGTTACTATAAATAATGAAATAGTGGAAGAAATTAAAGAAAAAATGGTTGCTAGGAATAGATTCTGCCAGGTGAAAAATACTAAATTATAGATCCCTTTCACATAGAACAATGATCACTGTATATGAAAAAGTCATAAGACCAATGGTTATGAGATGGATGATTTCTAAAGCTTTAGAAAGGAAGCTACTCACATAGGAGAGAAAAGTTTTCCGCAGGATCTATGGTCCAATGAGTGAACAAGGGCAGCGGAGAATTCATACAAAAAGCAGCTCGGAATCTATGCAAGGCTGGATTGGCTCTCAATAGTGAAGTGTAACCAAAGCAGATAGTTGGGTTATGTTGACATATATATCCAAAAACGCAATCCCTAAACAATCAAATAAGCAATCCCTACTGTAAGATTGACCTGGTGGAAGACCACACCTGAGTGGAGGACGTCCTGAAAAGGGTGGTAATCTGAAGATGGTGAATGCTCGTCCAGAATAGAAGAAATTGGAGGAAGATTATAAGAGAGACCTACCTTCGTGAAGCACCATAGCACCAAGAATAAATAAAATCAATAAATAAAACAATTCTGGTACATAGATTTTAGCAAAAAAAGTTATTATAAAATTCCCGGCATTTATCGAACTTAAATACATAATTTAAGTTTTGTACAACTTTGTATTTTATCACTGCCAATTTTAAGTCAGCAAAAACCATCTATTAGAACAAAAGATGAAGTAAGTATTAGAGATGGGCAAAAAGTACTCTGAAAAAAGTACAAATTACAAAGTATTTTACTCAAATACTAGCACGGTTCGAGTAAACAGTACTTGAAGCACTACTAGATCCAATGATTGACGAATACAAAAAGTACCCAGTATCCTCGTGAGTACTTTCCATTTTCACATTTACTCAGAATTATTTTACTTGGAGTACTTTTCAAAGTAATCGAGTACTTCATTCTACAAATCACCGGAGTAGAATATTTAATATTTCGTCAGTATTTATGTCCACTGTTATCTTATGGGGGTATAGTTTTTAAAAATAGTATCGATATTAATGTAAATCAATAAAATATCAACTTAACATATTTTGGATTTAATCCATATTGGGGCCCATTATTATTATTATTATTTTTTTTTTCCTACACCTCTTGACTAATACTTTCATTGTTATGGTTTCGGGGGTTCATTTTTTTGGAAATACTGTCGGATCTGAGTTTGAGCCCCAGCGCATCGACTTTTCTTAACTTTTCAGATTTAATCTATATCAGGGTCAAATATTATGTTTTAGGAGGAGCTTTTTATGAAAATGCTGTAAGATTTAAGATTAGAGATGAGCAAAAAGTACGTTGAGTAAAAATTACAAATTACAGAGCATTTTACTCAAATGCTCATGCGATCCAAGTATTGAGTACTTTAATCACTACTCAACCCGATAATTGACAAGTACAAAAAGTAATCAGCACTCCTCGAGATTACTTTGCATTTTAAAATTTACTCAGAATTATTTTACTTTGAGTTTTATTCAAAGTGATCAAGTACATCATTGAACAAATTAAAGGTGTAGAATATTTTCTATTTCTTTTCAATTTATCGATTTATTATATAAATTATTGATTTATTAAAATATTTCCGATGTACTCGTTATAGAGGTCCACTCTATAAGGAGGTATAATACCATCAATTTTAATCTGTATAGATTTATTTTAGTATTTTAGATTTATTCAATATAGAGGTATACCATTAGGTTTCCGGGGGGATACATCTTTAAAATACTATTGATTTTAACTATCTGTATAGTATTGGTAACCTGTCAAGCCCCAGAGAACATCGGGTGCTTCCCACCTCCCTTAGGAAGTCTATCGATAGCTACGGTAGAGTGCAAATCGGCTCTGTGATTTTATGTAATTTGAATGGTGTAAATACATTATTGGATCATTATATTTGGTATAGTGGTGAATATTAGTGTGTTAAAACTGTCTTTTATTAGAAACAAAGAATATTGTGAATAACAAGTGATATTTTTCAAATTATCAGAACAGTTGGGTGCTTTTAACTTGAAACAGGAATAGTGCCAGTGCAAGCAGGCAGGCTACTTCACGGGAAAGTTATTTATCTACAGCCAACTCTTTGTAGACTCATATATATTTCCTTAATCGTAATTCACCGAAATGAATGGTAATATAAATAATATTATGAATCCAATAAATGAGGACACTGTGACACTGCAGACAATAATAATGGAAATCCGCAACAACAATGAAATTAAAAGTATTAAAGAAACGGCAGAAAAAATTAATACTTTACTGGAAAATATTACATCAGAACTTTAATATGTAAAAAACAAAATTGATGAACTCGAAAAGATAAACTCCCAATTAGAAGAAAGGATAAAGAATATAGAGAAAAGAAGCAGACAAAATAATATAATATTATTTAATTTACCTGAAACAGAAGATAATAATTTGGAAAATGTAGTGGATGAAGTAAAAACAGTATTATGTGGTATGGACATAAGGCTATCAGATGGTTTGATAAACAACTGCTACAGATTAAGAAAAAATATATATAACAAACCCAGGAATATCCTAATTTCTCTTAACAGTTATATAATGAAGCAAACAATAATGAAAAAGAGAAACTTATTTAGAGAAAAAAAGATTCCTATAGCACATGAGAAATCACCCGAGGAATGAGAGGAGGGAAAACAAATATATTTATATCTTAACAGATCGCGAACCTCGACAGTATTGTAACTTATAAAAACAAGTTCTTCACAATGAAAGGGAACACTTTTCATATCTCTAAGATCGGAAACACTCGAAGACAGTAAACGATCACCAGTTCAGGTAACCAAAAGAAAAAAACTGAGCGAAAAACTCGATCAATTTCGATTTTGAGAAAGAAAATATTCAGATCAAAACTAGAGCACAGGATAATGATTCATCAGGACGGATAGAAGAGGTATCATATTTTAATATTTTATTTGGGAACATTAATGGCTATACAAATTTTATACAACACGATGAATATATGGGCCAGTACGATATAATATGTCTCACTGAAACCCATTTAACTACTGAAATCAGAGCT